TAGAATCAGAAATGAAAAAGGAGAAGTAACAACTGACACTGCAGAAATACAAAAAATCATGAGGGATTACTACAAGCAACTCTATGCCAATAAAATGGACAATCTGGAAGAAATGGACAAATTCTTAGAAATGCACAAACTGCCAAGACTGAATCAGGAAGAAATAGAAAATATGAACAGACCAATCACAAACACTGAAATTGAAACTGTGATTAAAAATCTTCCAACAAACAAAAGCCCAGGACCAGATGGCTTCACAGGCGAATTCTATCAAACATTTAGAGAAGAGCTAACACCTATTCTTCTCAAACTCTTCCAAAATATAGCAGAGGGAGGAACACTCCCAAACTCATTCTACGAGGCCACCATCACCTTGATACCAAAACCAGACAAGGATGTCACAAAGAAAGAAAACTACAGGCCAATATCACTGATGAACATAGATGCAAAAATCCTCAACAAAATACTAGCAAACAGAATCCAACAGCACATTAAAAGGATCATACACCATGATCAAGTGGGGTTTATTCCAGGAATGCAAGGATTCTTCAATATACGCAAATCTATCAATGTGATTAACCATATTAACAAATTGAAGGAGAAAAACCATATGATCATCTCAATAGATGCAGAGAAAGCTTTTGACAAAATTCAACACCCATTTATGATAAAAACCCTGCAGAAAGTAGGTGTAGAGGGAACTTTCCTCAATATAATAAAGGCCGTATATGACAAGCCCACAGCCAACATCATCCTCAATGGCGAAAAACTGAAAGCATTTCCACTAAGGTCAGGAACAAGACAAGGTTGCCCACTCTCACCACTCTTATTCAACATAGTTTTGGAAGTTTTAGCCACAGCAATCAGAGAAGAAAAGGAAATAAAAGGAATCCAAATCGGAAAAGAAGAAGTAAAGCTGTCACTGTTTGCAGATGACATGATACTATACATAGAGAATCCTAAAGATGCTACCAGAAAACTACTAGAGCTAATCAATGAATTTGGTAAAGTAGCAGGATACAAAATTAATGCACAGAAATCTCTGGCATTCCTATATACTAATGATGAAAAATCTGAAAGTGAAATCAAGAAAACACTCCCATTTACCATTGCAACAAAAAGAATAAAATATCTAGGAATAAACCTACCTAAGGAGACAAAAGACCTGTATGCAGAAAATTATAAGACACTGATGAAAGAAATTAAAGATGATACAAACAGATGGAGAGATATACCATGTTCTTGGATTGGAAGAATCAACATTGTGAAAATGACTCTACTTCCCAAAGCAATCTATAGATTCAATGCAATCCCTATCAAACTACCACTGGCATTTTTCACAGAACTAGAACAAAAAATTTCACAATTTGTATGGAAACACAAAAGACCCCGAATAGCCAAAGCAATCTTGAGAACAAAAAATGGAGCTGGAGGAATCAGGCTGCCTGACTTCAGACTATACTACAAAGCTACAGTAATCAAGACAGTATGGTACTGGCACAAAAACAGAAAGATAGATCAATGGAATAGGATAGAAAGCCCAGAGATAAACCCATGCACATATGGTCACCTTATCTTTGATAAAGGTGGCAGGAATATACAGTGGAGAAAGGACAGCCTCTTCAATAAGTGGTGCTGGGAAAATTGGATAGGTACATGTAAAAGTATGAGATTAGATCACTCCCTAACACCATACACAAAAATAAGCTCAAAATGGATTAAAGACCTAAATGTAAGGCCAGAAACTATCAAACTCTTAGAGGAAAACATAGGCAGAACACTCTATGACATAAATCACAGCAAGATCCTTCTTGACCCATCTCCTAGAGTAATGGAGATAAAAACAAAAATAAACAAATGGGACCTAATGAAACTTCAAAGCTTTTGCACAGCAAAGGAAACCATAAACAAGACCAAAAGACAGCCCTCAGAATGGGAGAAAATATTTGCAAATGAATCAACTGACAAAGGATTAATCTCTAAAATTTACAGGCAGCTCATGCAGCTCAATAACAAAAAAATAAACAACCCAATCCAAAAATGGGCAGAAGACCTAAATAGACATTTCTCCAAAGAAGATATACAGACTGCCAACAAACACATGAAAGAATGCTCAACATCATTAATCATTAGAGAAATGCAAATCAAAACTACAATGAGATATCATCTCACACCAGTCAGAATGGCCATCATCAAAAAATCTAGAAACAATAAATGCTGGAGAGGGTGTGGAGAAAAGGGAACACTCTTGCACTGCTGGTGGGAATGTGAATTGGTTCAGCCACTATGGAGAACAGTATGGAGGTTCCTTAAAAAACTACAAATAGAACTACCATATGACCCAGCAATCCCACTACTAGGTATATACCCTGAGGAAACCAGAATTCAGAAAGAGTCATGTACCAAAATGTTCATTGCAGCTCTATTTACAATAGCCCGGAGATGGAAACAACCTAAGTGCCCGCCGTCGGATGAATGGATAAAGAAGATGTGGCACATATATACAATGGAATATTACTCAGCCATAAAAAGAAACGAAATTGAGCTATTTGTAATGAGGTGGATAGATCTAGAGTCTGTCATACGGAGTGAAGTAAGTCAGAAAGAGAAGGACAAATACCGTATGCTAACACATATATATGGAATTTAAGAAAAAAAAATGTTATGAAGAACCTAGGGGTAAAACAGGAATAAAGACAGAGACCTACTGGAGAACAGACTTGAGGATATGGGGAGGGGGAAGGGTGAGGTGTGTTAGGGCGAGAGAGAGACATGGACATATATATACTAACAAACGTAAGGTAGATAGCCAGTGGGAAGCAGCCGCATGGCACAGGGAAACCGGCTCGGTTCTTTGTGGCTGTCTGGAGGGGGGGGATAGGGAGGGTGGGAGGGAGGGAGACAAAGAGGGAAGAGATATGGGAACATATATATATGTATAACTGACTCACTCTGTTATAAAGCAGAAACTAACACACCATTGTAAAGCAATTATACCCCAATAAAGATGTTAAAAAAAAAATAAAATAAAAAAAAGAGAAGCCACTGCAATGAGAAGCCCGCGCACGACAACAAAGAGTAGCCCCTGCTCACCTCAACTAGAGAAAGCGCATGCACAGCAACGAAGACCCAACATAGCCAAAAATAAATAAATTTATTTAAAAAATTAAAAATAAAAAAATATAGAAAACAGAAGCCATTATAACTCCCATAACATCCTGTCAGCAAACATATTGCCCTTCCTGCATTCCCATTAGGTCTTTCCTCATTCTTCCCTGTTACATGTAAGAGGCACCACCCTTCTGATCAAGGTTATCCCTCAGACTTCTGCCGGGACCCCAGGCCACTGACTTTCCTGCATCTTCAATCTCTCCTTCTCTGTCATTTCCTTCCCATTAGCATCTAAATATGCACAAATATTTTTCAAATTATTTTTTTTAATCACTTTTAAATTCACCTCCCTTTTCCAGTTACTACTATATCTCTTTCTTTACTCTTCAGGAAGATAAACTTTCTAAAAGCACTATCTACACTTGACTGTCTCTATTTCCTGTTTACCTTTTCTATTCCCCTTCTAATCCAATTTAATCTGTTCTTTTGTCTCCAACATGCCACTGAAACTGTACTTGCCAAAGTCACCAATGACTAATGTGTTTCCAAATCTAACAGTTTTTAGTCCTGTTGGTACTTGACCTCTCAACGTAAGACTAAGAAAGGAATCGAAAATGACACATTTGACTACTTTCTCCTGAAAACACTTGCTTTCTGTGGAACCTATCTTTCCCACTGCTCCTTCTCATTCCTTTAAAAACTGGTGTTCAGCTCCTTTAAATACTGGGATTCATTTCAAGATTTTTCTGCTATTCTTACTATCCAAAACAATCCCATCCTTTCTCATGGCTTCAAATGACATCTATATGTTGATGATTCTATAATCTGTTTCTCCAGCTTCACTCTCCTTTGGAGTTCCAGACACATGTATCCAACTTTTACAAAATATTTTCACTTTGCAATCTTACAGGCAACTAATCACATGTTCTTAATTGAACATGTCATAGTCCATCAAAATCTTTCTTGCAACACTAGTAGTGACTTAAATTATACCAACTTGAAAAATTAATGAGTATTACCAGCACTTGGCAAACTGGCTAAGGTAGCATATAGATATTAAAAATAATTTCCCAAACGTGACAGTTGAAGCCCAAGAGACAGGTTCTCTGATGAAAGAGAAAGGAACAGATTGTACAGTCATGAGAACTATAAAGGTATCAAAACAAGCACACTCTCCCTGACATCTCCAGAAACTTCCTTCAGCTTTTAGACCTGTTTTGATATCTCCTTTTTTCTGAGCCTCTGAAAGACACTCTCAGATAGAGGCCAAGAAAAGGAAGAAAAAAAGAGGATAACTAACAAAGATGTAAATACATGGATCTGTATAATGCCAATAGAAACCAAAGGAGAAAAGATTTTTACAAAGTAAAAAGTATTTTATTTTCAAAAAAGAGTATTTTATTTTCAAAAATGTCAAACACTTTGAAAAAGTTAAAGCAGATAAGAATGGAGAAAAGATTACTGAGTTTAACAATTATGAAGTGCTTTTAAAAGAATCAGTAAGAGGTAAGGATGGAAAAATAAAAGGTAAAGAAATGGGTATAAGATTAATGATGTATTTGTACTCACGACAAAATCACAAATCCTCCTTATAATGCCACATTACTCTATCTTATATGGAGCTGAAGATGGGCAAGAAAATCTCATAAAGGGAACAAAACTCAAGCTGAGACCCTAAAATAATTTTCATAACAACTTTATGACATCCAAGCATCAGGAAGAGAGGGATAGCATCTTTTCCGTTTTGTATTTCTTTCATTGCTTCCCTATCCCAGTGACTTGTACACAGTCAACAAGTGTTTCTTGGACTCCCATGTGACCAGATTAATTAAATTTATTTCCAATACAAATGCTGTGCCAGTGAAAAGAGGGGTTTATGTTTTACTTACCAGGGAAGGTACTATCTTCTGGATTAATTGAAGCATTAATGCTTCTTTTCAGGAGGTGATAAACATTTGCTGCTCTTAAGTCTGAAAAAGAAAAAAACAAACTCAACTGGGTTCAAGAGTTACACAATGTAGACCTATTCCAGTTTCACCATAGAGATTCTCAAGTACACTATATTGTACATAAAAGAACTACCCTCTGTTCAAGTTTTGATATAATAAATCTAAAGCAAGCAGAGAAAATAGGTAAAGCTCCCGGTTTGCACATCCCTGCCACTTAACACAAATCCAAAATTCCCCCAAAAGAATAATTTTAAACGGAGAAGGAAAAGCCTGTTACAATACTCTGTACACAACCCCATACACTTCCTCCTCAAAGCGCCGCTCTATCAAAACAAGCTAAATAAAATGCAATACAGATTCTAGACAGGAGCACCAAAAAGCTGTGCATTCTCAAACGGTCGTAATTGTCTTAAATTTATAATTTGTTTTGTTTTGTTTGTTTGTTTTGCGGTACGCGGGCCTCTCACCGCTGTGGCCTCTCCCGCCGCGGAGCACAGGCTCCGGACGCGCAGGCCCAGCGGCCATGGCCTACGGGCCCATGCGCTCCGCGGCATGCGGGACCCTCCCGGACCGGGGCACGAACGCATCCCCTGCATCGGCAGGCGGACCCCCAACCACTGCGCCACCAGGGAAGCCCTATAATTTGTTTTTTAACTTAGTTTATGTGTGGCATGTCTCCTCCCGTTAGGATGTAAAAACTCTAGGAGAGTAAGATCCTTTTCCATGTTGTTCCTTTCTGTATTACCTGCATTTGGAACACAGGAGGCAGAACTACCTATTGAATGCATATATGTCCAAACAACAGAAATTCCATTTCCAAGGCGTAGGGAATTTATATAGTTAAATATTTACTGTGTCGGAAACTTATGAGCGCTGGAATCTTGCATCCACAATTTTGTCCCTATTTTTTCTACGGAGAAAATGTTTTTATCAGCCCTTACCAGGTCGATCCCAGATAGAGTCACAGCTTCCTGGGACAACTCCATACAGGTCACTCCAGCAGAACTTGATCACAATTTTTTTCTCCTCCCTGCAAGCCGTTCCCGCTCTTTCTCAGCCCAGCGCTTACCTGGCTGTTTCTCGGTACCCTCAGCGGACGAAGCCCCTGGCCCATGCTCCGCCACCGCACCCGCCGCCGACGGGACTTTTTCTTCCTCCCAGATCACTAGGAGTAGGTACCGATCCATCTCTCAGGGCTGAGGCCCCGTTTCAGGTCTCTGCTTCCACATCCAAACAGCCCCGCGCTACTGACGCACTTCCGGTTCCTTCTACTTAGGTCGGCTGGAAACTATGTGTCCTCCATTGGTTTTCCGCAGCTTTTCCAGCAAGCGAGTTATTTTCGGGGGTTATTCTCTCAATAACTAGATCAGTTCCTCGCTTCATGACGAAACTGCTACGGTGGCAAGATTGAAGGAGATGCAGGAAAAGCAGAGAAGCAGACGAGTGCTGGCTTGTCTAGGAACTGACATGTTCGGCTGCATGCGTTTCCCGCCGGGCCCTTGATGCTGCGGGACAGGTTTTCGATCCTGGAAAAAGGACTGTTCGGCTACTGGGGAAACATGTCGAGTTTTTCTAGGGCGCCCCAGGTGAGCTCGGACTCTTGTAGCTCGATGGCATTCATTACGCTGACAGAAGGAGGTCGGATTTAGTGAAGCTGAGTAGGATGGGAAGCCGGGTCCTTGGGCCAGGAGATGCTTCGGTGAAGCACAAAGGGTGGTGATTCTGACCACCACTTGCTGTCGTTTTCTTGGTACTCCTACCCTCCCCTTTTCAGTCAGCCCCTCTCGTGTTTCTTCCCCCCCCCCCTCGGGAAGAAGGAGGGAAGGTCAGAGAGGTAATAAGCTGGATCATATAAGGCATTTTAGACTATTGTAAGCGTTTGATTTACTGAGCAAAATAAGGGGAGTAACATGATCTTGCTTAAGTGTTAAAAGGAGCACTCCGACTGCTGAGTCGAGAATAGACTGTGCAGAGATGGGGATTGGTGGAGAAGAGAAGCAAAGAATCTGTTTGGAGGCTATTGAAATAATCCAGGCTAGACATGATGGTGGCACAAACCAGACTTAGTAACTGTGTAGTGTTGAAAAGTGGTCACGTTCCGTTTGAAGGTGGAGCCAACAGGATTTCCTGAAGGACCGTATGTGCGCCGACAGCAAAAGAAAAAACAAGGATTATTCCAGAGTTTTTTGTTTCAACAACCGGAAGAACGTTCCATCAACTGAGATAGGCAAGGCTGAGATTGAAGCAGGTTTCAGGAGGAAGAGCAGGAGTTGGTCTAAGCCGCCTCTTAGTCTAGTCCAGCTCCAAGTGTGATTCCTTCCTTGGACTGTTTGTTACCTATCCCTAATGAGGTAAATACAGGAAGTAAAATTAAACATTAAAAAACTGTAGCAGGGCTTCCCTGATGGCGCAGTGGCTGAGAGTCCGCCTGTCGATGCAGGGGATACGGGTTAGTGCCCCGGTCCGGTAGATCCCACATGCTTTGGAGCGGCTGGGTCCGTGAGCCATGGCCGCTGAGCCTGCGCGTCCGGAGCCTGTGCTCCGCAACGGGAGAGGCCACAACAGTGAGAGGCCCGCGTACCGGAAAAAAAAAAAAAGGCTGTAGCAATTTGACATTGTGGCAGTATTTTAATTGTTTTATCAAAGGTTTTGTTTTTGTTTTGTTTTTTCTATCAGGTATTGGTCTGCAGTGGATTGGGGAAAAACTAGTCTTCTGCTGCATATGGTTTAAGAAGCACTGTAGTGTATATGCCAGGTGGGCAATTGAATGCAAGTGTAGAGTTCAGGAAAGAGGTCCAGGCTGGAGATGTAAATTAGGGAATCATAAACATACAAATGGCATTTAAAGTTATGGGTCTGGATGAAGCCTGTGTGGAAATGTGTAAAGAGAAGAGAGGAGGACCAAGAACAGTTCTGGAACATTTCAACATTTCAGAGGCAAGAGAAAGAGAGAACTAGCATGATAGCAAAACAAAACAAAACAAAGCAATAGAGGGTGGTGTCCTGGAAATCAAGTGAAGAAAGAATACCCGGGAGAGGGGAATGATCAACTGTGTCAAAGACTTGGAATTGACCAGTGGATTTAGTAATGTGAAGGTCATGGTAAACTTGGCAGGCAGTAGTGTGCTGGTGATGGTGTGCGAAGATAAAAGCCAGGGTGGAGTAGGTTGAAGAGAGAATGAGGAGAGACAAAGTAAAGACAACTCTTTGCAAAAGTTTGCTACAAAGAAGAGGAAAGAAATGAGGCAGTCGCTGGTAGGGAAGGGAGGTCAGGAGTTCGTTTTTTTTTATGGATAATTTTAATCATACATAAAAGTAGATATCACCAATTTCAAAAATCTCACAGCCAATATCATTTAATCTGTACCCCCATTCATTTCTTTCTCTTACTTATGAATTTGAGATAAATCTCAGACTCATATTATTTCATCAGTAAATATTTCAATATGTTCTTTACAAGATAAGGATTTTTTTAAAAATCCCATTACCATTTATCAAAGCTAAATGGAAATTTAACAGCAATTCCTTAGTATCATCAAATATCCAGTATGTGTTCAAGTTTCCAATTTTCTCACACGTATCATGTATATTATATAAATACATAATATTTTTACGGTTTCTTCCTTTGGATTAGGATCCAAAGTAGCAATAAGTTGCTGGGTTTTTTTATGTCTCTCTTAATAATAGGTTCCTTTTCCTGTCTTCTTTTCTTACAGTTTATTGAAGAAACAAGATTGTCCTGTAGACAATTGAATTGAATTTTTTTTTTTTTTTTTTTTTTTAGTTCATAAGGTGAGAGAGGTATAGAAAGTATATGGGCTAGAAGCTGTTTATTTGCAAAGGACATGATCATCTATGTAAAAACTGGAATTTACAAAAAGTTACTAGAACTGATAAATGAGTTTAGCAAGGTTGCAGGATACAAGACCAAAATACAAAAATGTAGTGCATTTCTATATACTAGCAACAATCAGAAATTTAAATTAAAAATACAGTACCATTTACAGTGGCATCAAAATATATGAAATAAACTTGACAAAAGATGTAAAAGGGGAATGGGGTAGAGACTAGAAGAATGAGAACAGGAAAACAGCAGATTGGTAAGCAGTTTTATAAGCTGATTTGAGATTTGTGATAATTAAATTTAAGGTAAAACCAGAGAGCCTAGTTGTACTTTTTCCAGCATTGTTTGGCTGCTTGTTTATATCCATAGAGAAAGCATCTGATCAAGATCTTTCTGGCCTGTGCTTTTCTTAGAGTTTGAAGGCAGTGGTGGACACTGCAAAGATAGTGGTTTAGTCCTGAGCCAGCCTAAGATGTCTATCTAAGGCAGCGTTTTAAAATTTAAGTTTATTCAACATCATCCATCTATGCTTTTCCAGCTACATTCTGCTATTTAACTCTCCCTTGGAATTAAAACTCCTGAATAGTCTTCAGTTCATAATTGGCCACTCATCTTTCAATGTTAATGTAACTTCCAATCTCAAAATATTTTTGAAGACCTCCATAAACAACTTCTGCTTTCATAAGAGCTTTTCATGACCCCTCCAGATACTATTCTATGTGGTACAAAAAATATAAGTCATAATGTAAAGGGAAATAATATCTTTGGAATGTTTTTAAAAGAGCATAATCCATATTGCTAATAGAAAAGCAAGCAGGAAAGATTACTGTGTTAATCTTTGCAGAATAATGAGAACATATCCCCCTTTTCCAGAAATAGAAATGAGAACAAAACAAAAAAATTATTTAATGATAGGATCTTTTCTCATAATAATTATTGATGTTAACTGTAGATTATGTGTGATGGTATATAATAGCAAACTCAGCTGTTTCCATTTAATTAGAATTTTCTTTGTTTCCTCTTCTGTCTTTTCAAGCAATGGGCCACTTTTGCTCGAGTTTGGTATCTCTTAGATGGGAAAATGCAGCCCCCTGGCAAACTTGCTGCCCTGGCATCAGTTAAACTTCAAGGATTGCATAAACCTGTGTACCATCAACTGAGTGAGTATCATTTTAGACCTGTTACTGGTAATCACAGTTTTCATGTCAGGATAGAATTTTGAAGATGTTTGACTGGGCTGTTTTTTTTATTCTTTTTTTTTTTTTATTTTTGGTTGTGTTGGGTCTTTGTTGCTGCGCGCAGGCTTTCTCTAGCTGTGGCGAACGGGGGCTGCTCTTCCTTGCGGTGCGTGCACTCCTCATTGCGGTGTCTTCTCTTGCTGCGGAGCACAGGCCCTAGGCACGTGGGCTTCAGTAGTTGTGGCACGTGGGCTCAGTAGTTGTGGCTCACGGGCTCTAGAGCACAGGCTCAGTAGTTGTGGCACACGGGCTTAGTTGCTCCACGGCATGTGGGATCTTCCGGGACCAGGGCTCGAACCCGTGTCCCCTGCACTGGCCGGCAGATTCTAAACCCCTGCGCCACCAGGGAAGCCCTGGGCTGTTTTAAGGATCTCTTTTTTACTGAGGATCCCTTATTCCATTCTTGCTAAAAACCTGTTGGAGGCGGGACTTCCCTGTAAGACCCAAGTATCAGTTCTTACTCTTCATCTTGCTTGACCTGTCAACAGCATTTTTTGTAGTTGATCATAGTTTAAACTTTATTTTGAAACATGAAATATACAAAGATATATTTAGATAGATAGAGATGTATTCCTCTACCTATATATAAATATAGATAATATTTTAAAGAAAATTAATAATAATGGTGGTGAAATGAATACCCATACACTCAGCATTTGGGTTGTTTTCCTCTTTTTTGCCGTTACAAACAACATTGCTATCAGTATTCTTGTACCTTTTTCCCAGGGCACATGTGGAAGAGTTTCTCTGAGGTCTGTCTGTAGGACAGGAATTACTGGGTTTAAAATGGGAACCTAGTTAGTCTTTATATGCAGGTGTTTTCATTATTCCTCATCTCAGTAACATTGATATTGTCGTTCTTTTTAATTTTGACTACTCTGGTAAATGGGATATGCTCTTTCTTTGTGGTTTTAATTTGCATTTTCCTGATTGCACATGGAGCTGAGAATCTTTTCATTTGTTTATTGGCCTTTTGTCATTTCCCATTTTGTAAAAGGTCTATGCATTTCTTTTTCCCATTTTTCCACTGAGTTGTTTGTCCTTCTTTCTAACTTTTATTATAAAAATTTTCACATTTTCAGAAAAGTTCAAAGAGTGGTACAGTGAATTTCTCTATACCAGCCACCTAGATTACACAATTATTAATATTTTATCATATTTTTTACTCAATGATTTG